AAAATTGAAAAAATTTCCCTCGTTCCCCGTAAATGGGGGAAACCTCCAAAAAAATTACAAATTTAAAAATCGCTAATTTTCGAAATTTTTTCAATTTTTGTTACTAAAAACTGCCGTAACTTTTTTAAAAATAAACATATCAATATAATTTTTTTTTATATAGATGCTTAATGTCTTTACCTATCATTTGGTATATTTTTTTTGTAAATCTGACACTTAACCTGCCCACAGGGGGGGATTTAAAATGACAACTTTTTCACAAAAAATTAACTTTTTCAACTTAACTTTTGAAAATGTTCCGGAAGGTCTGACACTTTTATATATATCTTAAATTAAAGCTAATGTAATATACTTTAATTTGAAAAAAAAAAATTTGACCTCTGGACTTGTCTTCGTGGTGAAAGTTGACATCAAAGTTAATAAAAAATTACGATTTTTGTAAAATAATTTTTTTTTATATTTTTAACTTAATAATGCTCTAACTTTTTCAAAAATGAACATATCAATATAATTTTTTTTTATATAGATGCTTGATGTCTTTACTTATCATTTGGTATATTTTTTTTGTAAATCTGACACTTAACCTGCCCACAGGGGGGGATTTAAAATGACAACTTTTTCACAAAAAATTAACTTTTTCAACTTAACTTTTGAAAATGTTCCGGAAGGTCTGACACTTTTATATATATCTTAAATTAAAGCTAATGTAATATACTTTAATTTGAAAAAAAAAAATTTGACCTCTGGACTTGTCTTCACGGCGAAAATGGCTACCGAATGCTATTTTCGTGTGAAAATTCTCGATTTTATTATTTATATTATATTTAACTTTATAATGCTATAACTTATTGAAAAGTTTATGGATCCACACAATTTTTTTATGAGAAATAATATTTTTTAATAAACCCTTTTTCATTCGACATACTTTATCTTAATCGAGATATTAATAAGGAACCAGCAGATCAAGTAGCTTTTGGAATAAAACACCAATTTTTTTAAAATTAAACACTATCTAAAGATTTGCATCGAAGCGTTTATTTTTGATAGTGATTTTAATCACTGTCAGATATCATTTACTTGATCCAACTATGCCACGTCACCACTGTGCCGCGACCCCCCTGTGCTGGGTTTTTATAAATAAGTGAACTAGAAGATATGAGGTACACGTATACCTATCAAACTGAATTGTTCATGACAAATCGATTTTATTTTATATTAGCTATCACTTTTTTAAAAATTATTTATATGAGGTAATCAGTTTTGCGTTTTAACTAAACAATGTTGTTTTAAGTGAAAAACATTAATATTAACTGAAATCTTGTTACAAAAATAAGTTAACTGTGCAACCTCTTTAAATACTTATTCTCTATTTAAATATATCTTTTTAAACTACTAAATGTTTAGCATAAAAATCTTTTATAAATTGATTGAAAATATATTTAAGGACAATAACAAGTTTTATGTATCCCAAAAGGCTATAGTTGCACATCAACATATACACCCGTTAAATTATGTCAATTGCTTACTTAAATGTCAGTAGGACAAAGTGTCGACGTGAAAATTATTAAATATATATTAAGGAATTGCAAACATTTCCAATATAAAAATGTTCAACTTTTAGCTTCGATGCGAAGCTGAGAAGGTATTGGTTTTAAAGTGCTATAACTTTTTAAAAAATGTATGGATCAATACAATTTTTTCATGAGAAGTAGTATTTATATACATCTTTCATTGGATATACTTTTTTTTTAAATCAGACTATTTCCCTATATATGGGGGGGCTTCAAATATAAAAAATGCATATAGAAAGTAGAACTTTTTCAACTTAACTTTTGAAAGTGTTCCGGAAGGTCTGACACTTTTATATATATCTTAAATTAAAGCTAATGTAATATACTTTAATTTGAAAAAAAAAAATTTGACCTCTGGACTTGTCTTCACGGCGAAAATGGCTACCGAATGCTATTTTCGTGTGAAAATTCTCGATTTTATTATTAGCTTCGATGCGAAGCTGAGAAGGTATTGGTTTTACTAAGATGTGTTTTTTTATTTTTTAATTTTTTATTTTTTTGTGTCTGTTACCACTTTTTCTCAGCTCTCACCGAACGGATTTCTTTCAACGATACGTCAAAAGATCACAAATCGTATCTAGTC